AGGCAGAATATGAAAAAGTTAATTAGAGTACCACTCTAAAATAGATAGATTATGCCTGATAAAGCTAATATGCAGTAAGTAGATACACAAGCTTGATCATATACCCATCTACTTTCTAACTCTTTTCCCTCTGGTAACACTACTTGATGACACACCCATTTGTGATTGTTTACTTGCTTCAGGTTTTGAAGCTGAATATGGTCTTCTTCTTTTTTTACCCTATCAAGAAAAAAAATGTAAATGCAATGTAAGGGAAAAAAGTTATTGATAGTTTAGTGCTAGAACGAAATTATCTAAGGCTTAATTAACACCATAAAAAAATAACCAATGCTTAAAATGTACCTCGTTGGAAGATTCAGCAGCGGGATTAGTTTTTACGGATAACGGGCACCTTCTTTTATTGTGTCCTAGTCCTTTACATAGAGAACATTGTAGAGTAAACGATCTCTTCAATTTTTTAGGCTCACTTGCATCTCTCTTCCTTACAATTTTCGGTCTACCGGGCTGCTTCTTTTTCAAAGAGGGCAGCAACTCAACACTTTCATCTTCTGGCCACATAGATTCCCTTGGTATTGGATTGATCTTGATGGCATAAGTGTTCAAGTACTTAACTTTTGTCAAGTCTTTGTGCAAAAATCTTAGTGGATCATCCCTAATGCTAATTATTGCCACCATAGCATGGCTACACGGTATTCCAGAGCACTGCCACATTCCACAATCACACTTCATTGTCTTCATGTTAACAACCCTCACCAGTGTTTCTTCAAGAATTTCGTATTCATCACCTCCACCACATATTACTCTCATTGTTCTTCCCTTATCTCCATGTTTATCTATCTTTGCTTGAACCCTAGGCGGAATATCAGTTTCCCACGCAATCATTTCCACGATTGCTCCTATCGCTCACCCTTTCCATTATCATTCTTCTCATATCTTCCATCATTTCAGTTAATGGTTTACCTCGAATGCATGCTATCCACGAGTTGAATGATTCAGTGCAGTTATTGGTCACAAAATCAACACCAATATCCATTTGAAATGCATGTCTTGACCAATGTTTGGCGGGTATTTCAGATAACCATTTCCAGCACTCCACATCAATCGCCTTTAGTTGCACCATTGCCTGATTGAAGTCTTCCAAATTTGCTGATCTTGCAGCTCTCCAAAATAATGATCTTTGCAGAAGACCAGGGTATTTGGACCTCATGTTTGCATAAACATGTCTCCCACAGTACCGTACAGGAGAATTGGGCCATATTGACTCCAATCCTTTTAAAATGCCTTTTTGTCTATCACTCATAAATGTCACAGTCCTGCTTTCTGTTGTCTCAAGTGCATCAAGTAAACATTTCAAGAACCAACCCCACATTTTGGTAGACTCATTTTCACAAACTCCAAGTGCAAGTGGAAAAATCCCTTGATTAGCATCAATAGCTACGGCTGCAAGTAATATTCCTCCAAATGGACCTTTAAGAAAACATCCATCCAAACCAATAAAAGGTCTACATCCAGTCAAATAACCTTGTTGTTGTGCTTTTAAGCATAAAAAGAATCTCTTGAAGTGGAGTAGGTTATCTCCGTGAGGAGAACATCCTTGAACTAATGCAATCGACCCTGGGTTCTTTAGCAGTACAATTTGACAGTATTTGCAAATTTTGCGATAACCTGCAACATAATCACTAGAACACATTTTCTTTGCTGCAGCTTTTGCTCTATAGAGTGTTAGATTACTCTGTGTTCTTTAGCAGTACAATTTGACAGCCTTTTTATAGAGAATAAAAAGGCTCCTAATCCTTGAGGGCAAAAAGTTGATGCAGTTATTGGAGAAAAATGGAGGCAAGTGTCAGATTGGTCCTCGAAGTTGCATAAAAATGGTCAAATAAGTCCTTATATAGGAGGCTCTGTTTGGCCGTCGCCATTCGGGGCGGTTCCCGGTGGAATTTTTTGATGAAATTTTTTGAGCATCTTATTCATTAAGTCTAGTTTACTCGTACCAAATTTCAGCTAAAACATCAATCCGGAAGGCATCCAAATGAATTCTAAGGTAACTACGCTTTTTAGCTGAATTTGGTATGAGTAAACCAGACTTAATGAATAAGATGCTCAAAAAATTTCATCAAAAAAATCTACCGGGAACCTCCCCAAATGCGGAGGCCGGACAGTAAGGACTTATTTGACCCTTTTTATGCAATTTCGAGGACCAATCTGACCCTTACCTCGAGAAAAATGTATCCGGTCCTCTTTTGCAGGATTTTAGTAGGCCACCTGAAAAGATAAAACTTTGACAATCCAGTTTAGATCCTTAAAAGTTTATCCCCCCACCCATTTTCATTCCTTCAATGTTCTATATTTCGTCAATTTTCTTTCCTTGGCATTTTCCCTTCAAGGTTTAGCTTCTTGTGATATTTCTTTCTGATGCTCGAACTAAAGGGATCTGTTTCTTATGAGAACAGATATGGGAGTTGAAAGGGGGTTCCAAGTGGAAGGCTTATCAGAACAACAGATTGCAAATGCGCTGCAAGACTTGGTGAAGAATGCAGCATCCTGAAACTCTTTCAAATATTTGTATGCCCCCATCTTCTATTATTGCTTGTTTTGTTTGTAGTCTTGCTTCAGCATATATTAATGGTGAACTTCTAAACATTTTGTAATCTTAATGGTGAGAAGTGGTTGAAGTCCTTGTCCAACAATATGCCTGCATTAATAAGGTTTTATTTTGTGTTTGAACTCGACTTAAATGGCATATCATTCGAAATATTAAATGGCATGTCATACCACTAGTTATAACTCATGATTGGAGTTGCCCTCATTGCGTTTATGGCCGCTGAGATATGTTCTGTGGGCATTACTCTGAATTAGTTCAATGTTTTCACGAAGTAATAAAAAATTATGGATAGTGCTTTTAAGCATGTATAAATAAAAACTGAACATACAAATAGTAAAATGATGCCAAACATACAAATAAGGAAATGATAAAGTGATTAACCTCTTAATCGTGTACAGACTCCGGAGTATTTGACTTAATGTGTTATTTGAAATGAAGAGTAGAACTCCTATTTTACGAATTATATAAAAAAGAAACAAAAATAACATGGCCAACACATTTAAAATAAATAAATAAAAGTAGCTTTAAATATTGTCACGTCTTGGACTCTTGGTGCGGCTTTGTTGCGTTTATGTTGTGGTTTTATGGGTGAACTGAAAGCACACCTTAATGTGAATTGTGCTCCAGACTTCAATTGCAATATTATAGTTCTGTTACGTGTTGCGATCTGCAATTTAAAACCATGCTCCCGTACCTGTAGATTCAATATGAGAGGCAATTTGGTTAGTTTTTTTGTTGTTGAAATGGTTGGCAAAAAATAATTTCAGCAAACTAATAGATTTAGGGGAATTGGACTTTGCACCCTAATATTTTAGCTGAATTTGAGCTTGCACTATGTTTTTAAATTAATTGTTATTTGCATCCTCGACACTAAACGTGCCCGCAGTAGCTCTTTTGAATTACTTGGTGGATTTTCAGTCTCAGATCAGACCAGGTTATAAAATGCACAGAGACCAGAGATCAGACATTTATCAGATCATTTCAGATCAACAAATTGTAACCCAATTAAAAATATCCTTAGAGTTTGCATCACATTTTAAATGTTTTTTGGCTTTGAGGCTCAAACACTTCTATTTGAAAATGGATTGCGAACTCAAAACTCAAAAGTTCCTTTGGAAACTTTTCCCTTTATTTTGTAACAGACTAAAAACGAAAATAAGACACAAAGGTTAAGAGTAGATGAAGAGTAGGAGACCATGTGGGGTGTGTGAGGACTGAGGAGGGAGGGATGGACAAAAGTTATACTAGGAGCTTGTTTGGTGACCCTTTTTCACCAAACACGTAACTTTTGATTTTGCGCACTGAATTGTGTAATAAACAGAAAAAGTAAGGTTGAAGTTACTTTTCTGACTGTACTGACTGAAGTTACTGTAGAGGAACATTTTAGCTATTTTTTCATATAATTTTTTTATTTTATTTATTAATAACAAATATTGTAAATATAATTTTTTCATTAATCAGCAGAATCAGCCAATACAGCCACTTCAGCTAGAATTTCATAAATTTCAGTAGAATCAACCAATGCAGCCAATTTTAGTATCACCAAACGGGCTCTAGTACTACGTATTTTTTATATTTATCTAAGGGATAAATTCAATCCTTTCATTTTTTATATTTATGAGTATCACTGTAACATAAAAAAGTTTAATTCCCATTACACGACTTAAGATATTATACAATTTCTTGAAAGTTCGGTACTTTACTCATGCTTCCTTCAAGTCACATCCAAGACAAGCAAGACTGTTAAGAGTTTACATACAAGTAGGCATGGACCCAACCAGGCCGGACCGGATGGCTGGTTCCAGGCTTTAGCCCGGGTTGGGCGGGTCTGGCGGACCGGTTATGGGCCCCCATTTTGTTGAACCGGATCAGCCGGTTCAGGTCGGTTTTGGGGCTCTTTTTTCCAATTTATTTTCGTTTCCTAGGGTAGGGCGGGTGTTTTAGGGAGGTTTGGGAGTGGGGGTCGGGGATAACAAGAAAGCCAAAAAAATTAAACATTGAACCAGGTCCGGCCCGGTATCAACCCGGCCCGGTTCCGGGCCCAAGAAAATGAAAAAAAGCCTGCCCAGGCCGAGCCCGAGTCCATCCCTACATACAGGCCACTGGTATTGAAGCAGTTGAGCAGGTGTCAGGATTGGATTTGATTTTTTTGGTCCACTTCATTTTGCAATCAAAACGCTGTTGGAGGAGATCCATGGCATAGAAAGCATAGAAAGCAGCACTCTCTGAGCAAAAAAAGTGAACCAGAATAGACAATGTTTCAAGACATTCATGAAACCTGAACAAAAATGTATTTCTTCTAATAATAGAACACATTACTGCATACTTATAAGTAATTTCTATCAATTGCGTAGTAGAATACACAATCTACATGAAAATGAGATAAGAAAAACTGCGGCAAAGGATTCTATCAAAAGAACTAACCAAAACCAAAACAATCGATTTATATAAATTCCCAAGCTTCGGATATTAGGCAATTGGAAGATAAAACTACGCTCATACATGAAATGCTTAGTGATTGAATGAACAGAGAATTATATTTAATTTCATCACTGGAGTAAATAGATATAGAAAAACATCAACATCCAATAGCTTCCATAAGTAGCACACTTCCTGCTAGCAAACCCTAATTTTAAAAATACATCGCCTAGATCCATCAATTTAAACTGTTCTTCAACTGCTTGTAAACTTAGTTACCGCCTTTGTCCCCTCTGAGACAGCATGCTTGGCCAATTCTCCGGGAAGTACAAGCCTCACCGCCGTCTGGATCTCCCTGGAGGTGATGGTCGGTTTCTTATTGTAGCGGGCAAGCCTGGACGACTCCTGAGCCAGCTTCTCAAAGATGTCGTTGATGAAGCTGTTCATGATTCCCATGGCCTTGCTGGAGATCCCGATGTCTGGATGAACTTGCTTCAGGACCTTAAAGATGTAGATCTTGTAGGTCTCAACGCTCTTCTTTGGCCTCTTCTTCTTCTTGTCGCCAGCAGCGGCAGCGTCCTTTGGGACCTTCTTTCCGGCCTTGGATGGCTTCTTGTCTGCTACGGGTGACTTCTCGGCGGGGACGGTCTTCTTCTCCTCTGCTGGTTTCTTCTCGGCGACCTTCTTGTCAGCTGTTGCCTTTGGCGCCATCGTTATCGCAGTATGAATGAAAAGAAAAGACTATTGAAGCAGTAGAGGAAATTGGGCGATTGATGTCGATGGTTCTTAGGTTCCGTGAGATGATTATATAGGAGATGTGGCTGAAATATTATTGGGTTAGTAACGCGTGCGCGGATCGATGAGCTGGAAGATGGTCAGACGTTGGATAGGAAGATTTAAAAAAGACGAAAAATGAACGTAGAGGATTAACTATTCAAAATTTTGATTCGCGCTTTTTAGAGTGCGCTCGGAAAATTAATCAGTTTTGGGAATTTTGATTTGGCACCTCTATGATCTTTTACTTTGAAATATATACTACGTACATACTACTCCGTACGTATTTATGAATACGCTCTTGTAGATCCCCGTTGTTTGGAATTATTTTATTGAACCGTAATTTGTTGGTTTGGTTGGTCTGTTTTAGTCTGATCTAATCTGATTTAAAATTTTATTTTTTATATTTTTTTCATAAAGATTTTATTTTTTATATATATTATAATCTATAAATAATTATATTTTATTCATTTATAATTAAAAATAATAATATTCCTTCCAAATTATCGAAAATTTTTATCGTTTGAATTGGATTGATTTCAATCTCAGACCGAAGCAGATCATACAAATACAGAACAATAATAAAATAGTACAAGTATTAATAATAATAATAACAACAATAACAATACTACTACTAATACTACTGATAATAATAATAGTAGTAGTAGTAATAATAATAATAGTAATAGTAGTAATAGTACTAATAATAATAATAATAACAATAATAATAATAATAACAATAATAATAACAACAACAATAATAACAATAATAATAATAACAACAACAACAACAACAACAATAATAATAATAATAATAATAATAAAATATGGTCTGGTATAGTCTGGTTTGGTCTGATCTGGTCTGGTCTGGTCTGTTTTATTCTAGTCTGGTTTGGTGTGGGATGAATTACAGTCCAAGAGGAGTAGAGTGGTGCCTGTTTTCATCATGGGGCCGAAGGCTTGTGTCTTTTGTTTCATTTTGGGGGGTGCCTCGTTAAAAACCTCATTAGGAAAAACCCTTTGGGAAAAAATCCTGATGAGGGAAAAATAGTGCATCGAATTCCCTCAATGATGAATAAAAAAGGTGAGCCCTTGGTCTAAGATGGGGAGCAATGTTGCCGTCGAGAGCTATCCGGTATCTTAGTGATGTCGAAGGCTGATTGTTGACATCCCGGAGGTGTTGAGGGGAAAGTTTGCTGGGAGCACACCTCCGAAGGCGTTCGTAGTTGATAAGCATGAGAGGGCATCCCCGGGGACTCCCGAGGGTAGTCCCCTAGTCAATGAGGCTGAAGGCGATGTACATTCCAATGTCTAAGGACCTTTGTCCCATTGGGGCGTTTGAGTTTGTAAGTCCCAGGTTTGATGATGGCTCCTACGATGTAGGGGCCCTCAAACATAGGTGCCATCTTGCCGCCCTCAGTTGGTTGGCGAGCTTCCCTCCGTCGGAGGACATAATCCCCCACTTGGAATTCTCGAGAGCGGACCTTGGCGTCGATGTAGCTTTTGACTTGCCTTCGGTAGTTTTCCGCTCGTATGAAGGCTTGTTCTCGGCGTTCTGAAATGAGGTGAAGGTCGAGGGCCATGTTGGCGTCGTTAACTTCCGGATCATATTGGGCCACCCTTCGGGTAGGAATGGTCACTTCAGTGGGAGCTTTAGCCTCAAATCCATATCATAGGGAGAAGGGTGTTTCACCTGTTGCCCGCCGAGGGATGGTGCGGTAAGCCCATAGGATGTTGTGGAGTTCTTCTACCTAGCCTCCCCCTTCGGCCTCCAGCTTCTTTTTTAGGCCCTCAAGTAATGTCCGGTTGGCATTCTCCACTTGACCGTTGCCTTGAGGGTAAGCAACAGATGAGAAGGTGTGCTTGATGCCACATGCCTCTAGGAGGGCACAGAAGGGGGTTGCCTCAAATTGGGTCCCGTTGTCGGAGATGATTTGTTGGGGGATGCCAAACCTTGTGAGAATGTTCTTTAGGACAAAATGGCGGCACCGGGCCTCAGTAATGCTGACGAGGGGCTCAGACTCCACCCACTTAGTGAAGTAGTCAATGGCAACGATGATGTACCTGTTGTTGGAGGTACCCCTCGGCAGAGGGCCCACAAGGTCTATGCCTCATCTAGCGAAGGGTATAGATGTGCTGATGGGGGCATAGTTGACCGCTGACCTGTCGGGGGCCTTCTGGAAGTGTTGACAGGCGGTACACCTTCGGGCGAGATCCGTACAATCTCGGGGCAATTGTAGGTCAGAAGTAGCCTTGGACTATGAGCCTTCGGGACATGGAGAAGGGTCCCTGGTGAGCTGAGCAAGTGCCACTGTGCACTTCCTCCATGGCGACTTCAGCTTCGTCTTGATGAAGGTATCGGAGTAGTGTGCCGTTGTAAGATCGTTTGTAGAGCCTTCCGTCTTCGATGGTGTAGCTGGGAGCCCTCAACTTTGCTAGTTTGGCGCGGGCTTCATCCTCGGGTAGTTGCCCTATGGTGATGAAGGTGATGACGTCTGAGATCGAGTCCTCTTGCCTTTGATGGATGTTCATGATGGGGCTGGCGTGTATGCTCGAGAGGCTAAGTTCTTCTATCCTCGCGATTTTAGAGATGTGCTCGGGGGATTCATCCGAGAGTTTTGATAAAATATCGGCCTCAGAATTTTGAGCTCTCAGTATTTGGGTGAGAGAGTGTGCCTCAAATACCTTGAGAAATTCTTTAGCCGCCTCCTTGTATTGTTTCATCCTCCCTTCCTTGGCCTCATACTCCTCGGAGATTTGTCCCACGACAAGCTTTGAGTCACACTTGACGTGGATCATTCTGGCCTTCATATTTGCTGACAGCCAAAGGCCACAGAGGAGGGATTCATATTCCGCTTCGTTGTTGGAGACTTTGAAGGAGAAGCGGACGGCATAGTAGGTCCGGAAGCCCTCGGGAGTAACGAGAACAACTCCCCCCTGCATGCTTTGGTGGTGCACTCCGTCACGAAGTCCGCCAGGGCTTGGCCCTTTATGACAGGCCTCGGACGGATGTCAATGTTGTATTGGCTGAGGAAGATAGCCCATTTTACCATTCGGGAGGAGCTGGTGGGGCTCCTCATCAAGGCGTTGAGGGGTTGATGCGTGAGGACCTGGACCGGATGAGCTTGGAAGTAGTGGTCTAGTTTCTTGACGGTCCATACAATGGCCAGCACCGTTTTTTCCATAGGAGAGTATCTGAGTTCGGCCTCTCTGAGGGTCTTGCTAACATAGAAGACGGCATGTTGGACGCCATCTTCCTCCCAGATGAGCACTGAGCTGATGGCAGCCGGGCTGACGCCAAGGTAAAGGTATAGAGTTTCCCCTACCTTGGGTTTGTAGAGCACAGGGGGTGAAGATAAATACCGTTTTAGTTCGTCGAAGGCCTCCTGGCATTCTGAAGTCCATTGGAATCCGGCGGTCTTCCTCATGATCTGGAAGAAGGGTAAAAACTTCTCCGTCGATTTGGATAGGAAACGGTTGAGGGCTGCTAGGCGGCCCGTCAACCGTTGGACCTCCTTCACGTTGCGTGGGGGTTCCATGTTGATGATGGCCTGGATTTTCTCGGGGTTGGCCTCGATACCCCATCGGCTCACCATGTAGCCTAAGAATTTGCCTCCTCGTACGCCAAAGGTACATTTTTTCGGGTTTAGCCGAAGGTTGAACTTTTGCATGATGGCGAAGATCACCTGGAGGTCGCCAGCATGGCTTGATGATTGTTTGCTTTTGACAATCATGTCATCAACATAGGCCTCCATGACGCGCCCCAGGACGGCTTGGAAGACCCTGGCCACCATCCGGGTGTAAGTGGCGCCTGAGTTCTTTAGGCCGAAGGCCATGACCAGGTAGCAGAAGATGCCTTCGGGAGTCATGAAAGCTGTTTTTTCAGCGTCTTCCTCATGCATGAAAATTTGGTGATATCCACGGAAGGCGTCGAGGAATGACATGATCTCACAACTTGCCGTTTCATCCACCAATTGATCAATATTTGGCAGAGGGAAGGGGTCCATAGGGCACACCTTATTGAGATCCGTGTAATCCACGCACATGCGGAAGGTGGGTGGTTTCTGTGTGAGGACTACGTTCGCCAGCCACGAGGGGTATTTCACCTTCTTGATGTGCTTGATGGAGAGGAGCATGGCAACCTCCTTTTTCACAAAATCCGTCCTCTCGCCCGAGAGGGGCCTTCTTCGCTATTGTACAGGTTTGACCGAAGGGTCCACTGAGAGCACGAATCTTCGACTTCCTCGGCGGGTTCACCCCCCGGCCTCTTTTCTTCTTCATCCACGGTCCCGTTGATGGTGTCAACACGGAACTCAGTCTTACTAACCTTCTTCGTCACTTGAAGGTAGCAAGCGAGGGCAAGTTTTTGATTCCCCCTTGAGTATCCGATGCCTCATTCGGTGGGGAACTTGAGGCACAGATGCTTCATGGAGATGATGGCTTCGAGGTCCTCGAGGGATGGTCTGCCAAGGATGATGTTGTGGGCGCAGTCGATGTTGATGACGACGAACTCCACTTCGAGCTTGGCTCTATGGAGCCCATCGTCGAATAGTACCAGGAGGGTTATGACCCCCTCAGAATCAATGTTGTCTCCGGTGAAGCCGGCAAGAGGGGTCTTGATGGGCCGAAGGGACTCCCTCTCCAGGTGTAGCTCCTTGAAAGTGCTGAGGTACATTACGTTGTTGGAGCTACCTTTATCAACGTAAGTTCAGTGGATGATAGTGTCATTGATCTCCGTACGGATGATGAGGGCATCCCTGTATGGAGAGGAAGCCGGGGGGAGATCAGCGTTGGTGAAGGTGATGGGTTCTTCCCTCAGCCGCTTCACGGGGGGCATATGAGTGACTTCCCCCACGTATAGTGATTGAGCCCACTTCTTTCTTTGGCCCGTGGAGTCCCCCTGTGTTACCTCCAGTGATCATATGGATGTGGCGCTTCTTCTCCTGGTACTGGTTTTACTCCTCCTCCTCATCGAGGTTTCCAATCTCCCTTTTCTTACCCTTCGGGTC